CAGATATTTTGTGATACTATAGCCCCTGAAGGTAGGAGGCTCTGAGGCCTTGTGCGTAATAATATAGCGATCCTTGCTCTCGTAAGGGAGTGGATGTGACTCCCCTGTCTGGGGGTCGAAGACTCGCCTGGGCGGTGCCCTGTCTCTATCTCTGTCCCTCCAATAGGAATCCCTCAAATTCTCTCTCCAGTCGTCTCTGTACCTGTCCGCTATGGTGTCCCTCCGCTCGTACTCGAGGGAGCGCCGCCTCGTCGCTTCTCGTCGTCCGCTCGAGGTACCCATCTTTAGAGCCTCCTGCGGCTCTGTCGCAACTGGTTCGCCTCTCAAGTCGGGCCCTCCGTCATTGGTTTGGTGAGCCCATCTCAACGGTGCTTCTTGCCTAATTCGTTCCTTCAGATCCCTCAGTGCTCGATCGGGCGATGCCCTGTACTCCTCTCCCGCTTCGTCCGTGGTCGGTTGCGGCCCCTTCGTGTCGGGTTCCATTCGACCGCCAGAAGATGCAGTTAGGTATTCTAGCCAACTGTTTCAGCCCGACCCTATGACAGTCACTGCAACCCGGACCTGTGACAGTCGCGGCAGCCCGGACCTGTTTCTTTATCACGACTCGCGTCCGCCTCCAATCTTAGCTCTCGACTGCCTTGATTACCACCTCCAGTATCCCGTACCGGTCGCAGATCTCGTGTTCTCTCTCTATCCCAAGAATCCCTGTGTCTAAGTAACCTCTCCTTTGGGATCGGTCAGCAAGGCCGTGCCTGTCCGGATCCATAGTACGCCCGTGACAGGACCTCTATCCTTGAGACAGATTGCAATCCCAAACCTAGCCAATGTCTCCTGATCAACACTCCTCAAGAGTCCCTGAGCGTCTCTCTCCGTCCTCCTTGCTAGTTCTCCTAGCCCTGTCTGAATCGGTTAGTCCGCTAAAGGCCCTCCTACTGTCACCCAATGTCGCCCATCGACCTTTCTAGCTTCCTCTATCCTTCCAAGAGCTTCCAATTTCTATTTTCACTACCTTATCTCCTCAACGGTTACGAGGTCATCTGTCTAACAGCTGAGGTAAGTTAGTGCTATAACGACTTGTAACCTCATCGCCGACCGCTCCAATATGTCATAAAATGTGTCAAAGTCCTCATTATCTCCTCCTCGTCAACCTCACTCTCTGGGTCGACCCAGTCTGGCTCCCACAGCTCCTCGTCGTCCTCTCGCTCCCAACCCTTGTCGTCAAACTCGTCCTCGACGCGGTATGACGCCTGTCCTATGGCCTGGTAGTATTCCGTCAACTGATGGCCGTATATCAGAGGTCGCTCGGCGTCCTCGCTCCACCAGCTCCCCCAGTTGTCTGAGAAGAGCCGCCCGATGCAAGTCACGTACTCGGGGCCTGCTCGGAGCTCACGGTCTAACCAATCCCAAACGCACGGAGGCTGGGGCCACTCGTCGTCTATCGAGCGGATCAGCTCTATAAGCTGAATCCTCTCGTCTCCCCAACGAGGCCCACCGGTCGCGAGCGAATAATAGATGTAGTCTAGGTCGGCAGGCCTTCTCGCCAGGATCTTGAGATCCTGATAGGCCAGGTATGTCTCGACCACTCCNGCGCCTTCTGCCAGTAAATCGGTGTGTGGCACGGAGCCCACGTCTCGTATCGTCACCTCGTTGACCTTCTGAAGGTCCTGGATCCATCGGATCTTGCCATTCGGCTTCCATAGGAAGAACCATCGATTAGCATAAGCGCTATCAGACGGCTTCGCAACGTGGGAAACCATCTTTTCTTTCAGGAAAGCGATAACTTCTTCCTTCTCCTTCTGGGCGTATTTCCATCTTGTGTCATTCCAAGGAACATGTGGAATCGTATAAATCCTCGCTGGCTTAGCGTATCAAGGGTCAATCCTACCGCGCTCCGCGTCGCTGAAAGCTATTGCCTAATCACATGTCTTCAGGATTTCTATCACACGCCCTCGCTCTTGTGGGGTCAAATTTCCATCTCCGATGTCCATCCCTGCTATTCTCTCTTCCGTTAGGCGTTGCGGCTCCTTTCTTTTTCTTTCTCTGATTTCTTTCGCGATCTCTTCTTCCGATATTCCTTCCAGTGCAGATCGCTCGCGGCCCACCGCCGCTGGCTTAACTTTTTGAGCTACTCGCTTGCGTCGCTTGGGCAGCCCCCCATAGGGGACCGCGCCCTTAAAAAAGACACGGTTACTACACCGCCAAATTCCTCATCTTTTTCCTTCGGGTACGAGTTGCCATCCACTATTAGCCAACTCCCTAAATCTTTCACCTCCACGATCTGACCTTCTTCCTCTGTGAGCAGTGGTCCATATCTCTTCTCGCGAAATCGCACCGCGCGGCCGGAGATAGGTAACGACTTAATCTGATCACTGGGTCTCGCACCCACAGCGAGAGCTGCTCTGTTCCTCGGGTCCCGGGGCTCCACTGTCTCAATCATTACCCGCGTCCCGTCTGGTTTCCTAATGGACAATGTTTGGCTCCCATCAGGTCGCTCTATCGTCACCGCATGCACGTGGCTCAACCACGTTCGACCCAAGAGCAGGTCGGAGCTGCAGTTCTTGACTGCAAAGACAGACAGGGTCACTTTTACCCCATGGACCTCTATGACTGCCTTGTGACAAACCCCAGTGATCKGTTGCTTTCTCCCATCAGCCGTCTCTATCTCGAATAGGTATGACCTATCGAGGCCCAGTCCAACTTGTATTGCCAGGTCCTCGTCTATGATGACAGCCTCACTGCCGTTATCAATCACAGCATCGAGTATCGCTCCATCGTTTATAATCGTCTCCACAGCCCCGCTACCAAGTATATAAAACTTGTTTGGAGACACACCTTCCATCCCATCGAGAAGGACAGTCGCCATGCGATCCGCTCTGGCAGTTCCCCCCGTTACTGCTACTGTAGAAGCTTCCGCTTTAGGGGGCCCCTGACCCTCCTCTGATAGAGATATGCGAGTCTTCCGCGTGATCATATGTAATTCATCACGAGCCGGCTTCGATGTCGCCAGGTACTCCAGAATAGAGCACTGCATTGGTTGCCGAAGGGTCCGCCTCAGTGGCTCAACCGTGTCAATCTCGTCCAGCGAACTCTTCATTAAGAACTTCTTCACTCCCCTCTTTCGCGGCGAAAGGATAACCTCCTCTCCATCGACCCGCTGCCCGTCCTTCTCCGTCATCACGTAATCCGTGTCAGTCTTCCTCGATGTAGACCCTCTTGCCGACTTGGTGGCAGCCACCCTCATGGGTGTGGTCGCGATATCCCCCTCAAAGATTATCTTGATGCTCTGGCTCCTGACCGGCTTCATTCCTTTACTCGTTTTTATTCTCCTTGCTTCGACATTCTCCTTCATCGAAGGGAACATCGATATATCTCCTAGATCATCTGCCCACTTGACGTACTTGC